TGCGGCCGGGCTCCACCCGGCGCGGGGCTTGGGGACGGGGTGGGAGGCTGCCGGTGCCAGGGAGAGCGTGCGAGTTCCCAGCGGGATGCGAGGGACCGGGGCCCGCTGTGTCTGGAACGGGGCTCCGCACCCTGCACGGGGGCTCTGCCGCTTGTGGGCTGCTGTGCGCAGGGGGCTGGGGGCGGTGGAACGGGGCAGCGTGGTGGGAGCTGAGGGGAATGAGAGCCCCACAGCGGGGCCGTGGGGTGCTCCTTGGGGCCGGCCCCTGCTCTGGTGTCCCCCGCTGTGTGTCCGGCCGGGGCCCGCTGTGTCTGGAACGGGGCTCCGCACCCTGCACGGGGGCTCTGCCGCTTGTGGGCTGCTGTGCGCAGGGGGCTGGGGGCGGTGGAACGGGGCAGCGTGGTGGGAGCTGAGGGGAATGAGAGCCCCACAGCGGGGCCGTGGGGTGCTCCTTGGGGCCGGCCCCTGCTCTGGTGTCCCCCGCTGTGTGTCCGGCTGCTCTAGGTGGGAGATGGCAGTCAGCAGCCTCCTGCTGCTCCTGCAGCCCTGGCTGGCCACAGCCCTGCACAGCCCTCCCGGCTGCAAGATCCGCATCACCTCCAAGGGCCTGGACTTGGGTAAGGGCCAGCCCGGAGCCCGCTGTGGGGGCCAGGATAAAGCCCTGGACTGCTCATCACGGGTCTGGGCCTGGGACCCGCACGGCTGCTCCGGAGGAGCCGGGCTCCCAGCTGGGTGCTGCGCTCAGCACAGTCGTTGCCCTGCAGTGAAGCAGGAGGGGCTGCGCTTCGTGGAGCAGGAGCTGGAGAACATCACGGTGTCCGACCTGCACGGCAAGGAGGGGCAGTTCCACTACAACATCAGCCAGTGAGTGGTGCCCCCGGCCCGGGCGCCGCCGCTGCCGCCGGGGCCCGACCCCCTTCCTGCCTGTCCCCGCAGGGTCAAGGTGCTGGACCTGCAGCTGCCCTTCTCCGACCTGCGCTTCCAGCCCCAGCAGCACCTCGCCTTCACCATCACCAACGCTTCCATCAGCCTGCGCTTCCGCCGGCAGCTGCTCTACTGGTTCTTGTGAGTTCTTGCCTCCCTGGCAAGAGTCCTGGCCCGGTGGCTGCATCCCCTGCTCGTCCTGGGTGCTCCGCTGGGTGCCCGGAGGGGAGCGCGGGAGCCGCGTGCTCCTCTCAGCCCTTCCCCTCGCTCCCAGCTATGACATCGGCTCCATCAACGCCTCTGCCGACGGCGTTCAGATCCACACGGTGCTGCAGCTGTCCAAGGACGAGACCGGGCGCATCAAGATCTCCAACATGAGCTGCAACGCCTCCATCGCGGGGATGCACGCGGGCTTCTCGGGCACGCTCAGGTAGAGCCGCCCCGCAGCCCTGTCCCCTGTCCCTCCTCCCGGGTGGCTCCGGGCCCTCCAGGCCCAGGCTCTGCTGCTCCCCGCGCAGGAAACGGCCCAGGGAAGGGCAGGGCTGGAGCCTTCCCCTGCGCCACGGAGGCCGCTGTAGCCTTTTTGTCCTGTCGCTGCAGGAAGGTTTACGATTTCCTGAGCACTTTCATCATCACAGGGATGCGCTACATCCTCAGCCGGCAGGTAAAGCAGCGAGCGGAGAGCGCAGGCCACAGCACGTGGCAAACGGCTGCCTGCCCTGCGCCAGCCCCCAATCCCAGGATGACGGAGGAGGGACCAGGTCCTCATCAGGACTTGCGATCCCTGGCTCCTAGCCCGGCCCATTCCCTTCCAGATCTGCCCATCCCTGAACCATGCTGGCCTGGTGCTGCTCAACTCTCTGCTGGACACGGTGCCAGGTCAGTGTTGGGAAGGGGAGCAGATCCAGCTGCCCTGGAGCAGGAGCAGGGCAGAGCATAGGGCCATGGGAGGCCCTGCAGCTCTGACAGCGCATCCTCTCGGGCAGTGAGGAACTATGTGGATGAGCACGTTGGGATTGACTACTCCCTCCTGCGGGATCCTGTGGTCTCCACGGACACCCTCGACCTGGACTTCAAGGTGCGCATGGGGGATTGTCTCTGCCCCGTCCCCGTGGGAGCAGGTTGGCACGGGCTCGGTGCCGGGCACCTCGGCCTGGGCACGTCATGCTGTGCTGCCCATGCACGAAGGTCTCTGCATGCTCTCGGCGCAGGGCACGTTCTTTTACCGTGGGAAAGAGAACCAGGAGCTGGAAAACCACGCGGTGGAGCCGGTGATCAAGGAGACGGAGCGCATGGTCTACGCTGCCTTCTCCGAGCACTTCTTCGACTCGGCCATGCACTCGTACTTCCAGGCGGGCGTGCTGGCCATACAGCTGGAGGGGGACAAGGTGAGCGCCCCGTGCCGCGGGCTGCTGGCCGGGTCCGGTGGCCT